TCCTATGAGTCTTGGTTGACCCATTGATACCTAACTCAAATTAAGTCTTCAACTTTCAATTATCCTTAGCAAAACAAAAGATTTTTCAACAGAACACATGTAGATAACAAAAAGGGCAACTGAGGCTGAGCTTTCAAGTATGGAAATACAAAGGAAGAGGAACAGTTGTAAGCAGACACTAGTGATTGGGACATGGAATATGAGAACCATGAATGTAGGAAAATTAGATATTGTTAAAGAAGAAATGGAATGCATCAATATTGACATACTAGGCATTGCTGAAATGAGATGGACTGGCATGGGGAATTTTGAGTCAGATGATCATATGATATATTACTCTGGAGATGAAAAGGTGAGAAAGAATGGAGTTGCTTTCATAGTTAAAAAAGCCATTTCTAGATCCATCTTGAAGTACAATATTGTGACAGGATAATATCCATACGCATACAAGGAAGTCCAGTGAATACCACTGTCATTCAAATATATGCACCAACAACCAGAGCCAAAGAAGAGGATATAGAAGATTTTTATCAACTTTCACAATCGGTAATCGAACGAACATGCAATAAAGATGCATTGATAATAATGGGTGACTGGAATGCAAAAGTTGGGAATAGAGAAGACGATTCAGTAGTTGGTAAACATGGACTTGGTGACAGAAATGGAGCTGAAGAGAGAATGATTGAATTTTGCATAATCAATGACTTATTTATAGCAAATATATCTTTTAAGAGACATAATCACAGGTTATACACATGGATCTCTCCTGATGGTATGCATAGGAATCAGATTGATTACATCTGCGGAAAGAACTGCTGGAGAAGCTCAATATCAGCTGTGAAAACTAGGCCAGGAGCTGATTGTGAAACAGACCACCAACTACTCATATGCAAGTTAAAGCTGAAGTTGAGGAAAATGAAACCAAATCCAAGGCAACCAAAATATGATTTTGAGTACATCCCACCTGAATTTCAGAACCATCTCAGGAACAGGTTTGAGGCCTTGAACACTAATGAGCGAAGGCCAGATGAGTTGTGGGAGGATGTCAAATGTATCATCCAGGAAGAGTGCAAACAGTCATTGCAAAGACAGAAGAGGAAGAGAAGACCAAAATGGATGTCAGAAGAGACTCTGAAAATTGCACTGGAGCGTAGAGAAGCCAAAGCACAAGGAAGAATTAAAGATACTAAAGAGTTGGATAGAAGATTTCAAAAGCCAGCACAGGATGACAAAGTAAAATATTACAATAAAATGTGCAAGGAGTTGGAGTCAGAAAATCAAAAGGGCCAGCCAGATTTGCTCAGCATTTCTTAAGCTCAAGGAACTGAAGAACAAATTCAAACCTCAAGTTGCTATAATCAAGTACACTTTTGACAGAATATTAAGTGATCCAGGTAGTATTAAAAGAAGATGGAAAGAGTATACTGAGTCACTGTATCGAAAGGAATTAGCAGACACAGAAGAATTTCATGAAACAACATATGAGCAAGAGCCTATGGTGATGAAAGAAGTTCAGGCTGCTTTGAAGAAAATGGCTAACAGATGCTGCCCTAGACGTGCTCACCAAGTTGTGTCAAGAAATCTGGAGAACAACCACTTGGCCAACTGACTGGAAGAGGTCTGTATTTGTTCGCATCCCAAAGAAAGGTGACCCACCAGAGTGTGGAAACTATAGAACAATATCATTGATTTCACATGCAAGCAAGATCCTACTGAAGATTACCCAAAAACGACTGGAATAGCACATCAGCAGAGAACTGCCGGAAGTCCAGGCTGGGTTTAGAAGGGGTCATGGTACTAGGGATATTGTAGCTGATGTTAGATGGATTTTAGCTGAAAGCAGGGAATACCAGAGGAATGTCTATCTGTGTTTCATTGATTGTGCAAAGGTGTTTGACTGTGTGGACCATGACAAACTGTGGCTGACTCTGAGGAGCATGGGAATCCCAGAACACTTGATCGTTCTAATGTGAAACCTATACTTGGACCAGGAGGCAGTCGTCAGAACAGAGCAAGGGAACACTGCATGGTTCAAAATTGGGAAGGGAGTACTCCAGGGATGCATCCTGTCTCCATACCTTTTCAACCTATATGCAGAACAGATTATCCAGGAGGCTGGGCTCTATGAGGAGAAATATGGGGTCAAGATTGGTGGAAGATCTGTCAACAGTCTGTGTTATGCAGATGACACAACCCTGCTTGCTGAAACTGAGGAGGACCTGAAACACCTGCTGCAGAGGGTCAAGGACTGCAGCCTCCAATTTGGATTGAGGCTCAATGTCAAGAAGACAAAGATTTTCACCATTGGGCCAACTGGCCGCATCAGGATGGATGGTGAAGAGATTGAGATTGTACACAGCTTTAGTTTGCTTGGCTCCATAGTCAACACTCTTGGCACCAGTAGCCAGAAATTAAAAGGTGCATTGCCATGGGAAAGTCTGCTGTTAGGGACCTCTCCAAAGTACTGAAGAGCATGGTGTCTCTCTGGAGACTAAGCTGCATCTGATACAGGCCATGGTCTTTGCAATCCCTTGTTATGCACCAGAGAGTTGAACAATGACCAAGGAGGATAAGGAGAATTAATGCCTTTGAGCTGTAGTGTTGGAGAAGAATATTGAGAGTACCATGGACTGCTAGGAAAACAAATAGATTTATCCTGGAAAGGGTTAAACTGGGTGGTTCCTTGGAGGCAAGGATTCTGAGGCTCCGTGTAACATACTTTGGACATGTTGTGAGGAGAGACCGGTCCTTAGAGAAGGACATCATGCTTGGGAGGGTGGAGGGACAGCGCAGGAGAAGAAGACCCTCTATGAGGTAGATTGATTCAGTGCCTGGGATAATCGGGATGGGAGTGTCAGAGACAGTGCGATTGGCACAGGACAGAGCAGAGTTTAGGGCTGTTGTACATAGGGTCGCTATAAGTCACAAGCGACTTGACGGCATATAACAACAACATAGTAAATAATCAAATTCTTACTCAGTTTATAATTAAGTAATTTTGAATGAACCTTGGGCAATGTTTGTACATAGGTTTATATAAAAAAATACTATCTTTTTCCAGGGAATGAAGGCTAGTGCTTAAGGGTCTTCTGCCCATTCCAGCACCAGCTTCCCCTTCCTTGATTCAGTGGTCTCTGCTGAATTTGCTAATCCATTGTAATGGCCACACAGAACCAGGTTACAAAGTTAGCAGGTTATCCGGGTTCAGGTTGTACAGTTAGGCTAACAACAGTCAGGAGAGTCAGAAACATCAAGCATGTTCACAAGCCCTTTGATTTCTAGCCTAACAGCTTTCGCTCGCTGTTACAATGTTAATTCTGCCAATTACATTGTCTTTCTCCCTCCCCTCATGCCTGGCTCTCTGAGCAGTACCCCCAGGTGGTAGCTTGGCCTTACCTCAGCCTCTGGTCTCCTCTGCTGATGTTCTCTAGGTCCTAGTATGATAGACCCAGGAATCTCTGTCCCTGAAGGATGTGCACTGTGTTTGCTGCTTGTACTTTATTATTGATAGTAAGATTACTATATTCTGCTGTTAAACCAACTTAATTTAAACCTGGTAGGATATCAAAATTAATCAATCGTGTCATGGATATTTACCCACCTGCTTTGCATTTCTATCCAGCCAAGGAAATAGAAATCAAAGGCAATGGACTAGAAATGCCATATTGCCTACACCACTTTTCCTTTTTCTTTTTAATTTGGAAAAAGTTCAAATGCAAGAGAATACTATGTGGACTTCATATAAGCATCACCAAAATTCAGTAGTTACCAAGATTTTACTACACTGTTGTTAATCCTGAAATAAGCATTTTTTTTTACAAGAGATATAACAACAGTGATATTCAAATGTTTTTAAAGATACTTTGTTTAAATGGGATAAATAATGTATACTGCATTGAAACAGGTGAGGGAGAAAACTGTTTAAAAGGGTGTTTGTGATTAAATATTTCTGTCATAATGGGAGTCTAGAGTGAAGGCTGCATAGTGAAGTGGACCTGGGTGGGAGGGATTGTAAAACAATGAAAGAATTTTTTTTTTTACTTTTCAAAGAGTGGAGTGTAACTGGGGCGGGGGTAAGGGGGCGGAGAAAAGTGCAACAATGAATGAATGGAAATTCAAAGTCTCTGTAAATTTTCATTTAAATTAATAATAATAATAAACCAAAATGGAAAGACACACACACAAGATACTTTTCTTTGTTCTTGGATCATTTTTGAGGCATTTTTTTTCTTTTTCTTTTTTTTTTTTTTTAGTCATTTCCTTTTTAGAAAAAGGACTTAATTCTTACATAAAAATTACTGGTGCACTGCGCACACCCATGTTTATCACAGCTTTGTTTACAATAGCAAAGAGTTGGAAGCAGCCTAAGTGCCCATCAACAAACGAATGGATAGAGAAGCTGTGGTATATTCACACAAAGGAATACTATGCTGCATTGAATAACAAGGAACTCATGGAATATTATTCAAAATGGGTGACCCTGGAGGACATTATGTTGAGTGAAATATCTCAGTCACACAGGGACAAATACTGCATGGTGCCACTGCTGTAGAATGGGACTGACAGCAGGGTTGGGGTAAGAATGAGAAAAAACTGGATAAATTAGGTATACTGTATTGAAACAGATGAGGGAAAGAAAAGATTAGAGGTGATATATGATTGAGTATTATGGTTAGCACAGTCTAGAATTAAGGTTGCATAGAGAAGTGTACTCGGTGCAGGGGGTGGGGGGTGAGGCATGGGGGAATTAAATACCAATGAAGGAACTTTTTTTGTTCTTTTCAAAGAGAGGAGCGAACTGGTGGGGAGGGGTGGGCAGGGAGAAAAGTATAGCACTGAATGAATGGAAATCCAAAATCTCTGTAAATGTTTATTAAAATTAATAATTAAAAAAATACTGGTGTACAGTCTTTGGATATTAGTATTTTTCTGTCCAGATTTGAGTTTGTAGGAGGAGGACTTGGTCTCTCTTTTTTTTAAGTTTTAATTCTTCTTTACAGTCAGAAGAGGAAGCTACAGAAGGAGAGAAAGAAGTTGAGGCATTAAAGAAAAGTGTTGAGTGGGTATCTGACTGGTCCAGTAGACCTGAAAACATTCCACCTAAGTAAGTTCTTTGAATCTTTTCACTTAGTGGTCTGCTAACTCTAAGATGTTTTTAGCCAATGAATTTCTGAAACTTCCCTTTGAATTTCTTTCCCTAGGGAGTTCCACTTCAGGCACCCTAAACGTTCTGTTTCTTTAAGCATGAGAAAAAGTGGAGCCATGAAGAAAGGGGGGATATTCTCTGCAGAGTTTCTTAAGGTGTTCATTCCATCTCTCTTCATTTCTCATGTTTTGGCTTTGGGACTAGGGTAAGTAAACTACTGAAATTTTTCTTCCCATTCATCTTATCCCCAGACAGAAGAATTATATTTGAAAGCAGCTGGGTTTTCTTTGCTTTTAATGTTTCTCTGCAAAGAAAGTGAGTTTAAAAGAAGTACTAATGTTGATAATATAGAATATTTTCCCTGTTTGAAATTAAGACATTCATATTCTCTAAATTGCTAATTTTTACATGAACTCTTCTGTGATTCTATAATTCTTTGGGTTTTCTTTTTTGTTTTTCTATGTGATTGCTTAAGTTTAATTAAAATTTGAAATACACTAATCTCTAGTATATGAATTTTAGGGCTAACAATATGAACTGTTGGTGTTATTTGTTTTTTTGTTTGTTTGTTTGTTTGTTTTTTTAATGGCTTTACTTTGGCCTTAGGTTAAAATTGGTAGGCTATTTGTGGATTTTTTTCCTCAATTTTGTGGTTTAATTTTTTTCTAAAATTAACTGTGTATTTACCTATAGTTCATTAAGTTCATAGGCATCTCTTTTTTTTTTTTTTTTTTTGAGACACAGCTTTTAGAGTTTTAAAATTTTTATTTTGGACAATTGAAGAAATATTTTTAAAAATCCTAGGGGATTAAAAGTAGCTTAATTGCATTTCTGTGACATATTTTTACATGATATAGGCATTTTCAGAAGCTAAGTATATCTGATATACTCTTTTTGTCTCTTTTGGATACTTGATCTGGTTTTGTGAGAACAAGGAAGTAACCAGAAACCTTAAGATGGAAAGTGCTTAGAAGAAGGGATATGTGTAAATGTATGAGGATTGGAGAGGGGCAGGGTAGGAACTGAAATTCCTTTATAGGTTTCACTGCACACTAGTTCTTTTACCCTCAGGAGGTGTTGGGTTTTTTTAAATTGCAGTATATTTTCCTTGGTTAAATTTTTAAACTATTTTTGTTGTGAGGCTAAAAGTAACTGTTGCTCTGCTGTTGTTGTGTGCTGTAGAGTCAGAACTGACTAATAGCTGACCCTCCAGTGAGTTTTTAGAGACAGTAAATCACACGGGAAGAGATTATCCATCCTTCTGCTTTGGAGCAGTTGCTGGATCCAAACCACGTGCCTTTGGGATTGGAGCATGGCTTATTACCTCTACGCCACCACAGCTCTCTGTCTGTTGCTGTAGCTGTTTTTTGGTTTTCGGGTTTTTTTTTTTAAAGTGAACATCTCAAAGGAGATTGACTCTGACTTTGACGAGGTCTGTTTTCTCTGATTTGATTTTATCTGATTACTACCTCTGTGCTGTCCAGGAGCCTTAACAGGTAAACCTTTTTGTATAAAACCAGTTTGTCTGGCTGGTGACTGGTTTTTAAACCAGTCAGTAATAATTTTAGGGTATTGAGGAACCCTGCACATAGACCTCTTACAAGAACTGAAAATTTTCAAGTAGATGGTAATATGTGGAAAAGCTGGTTTGGAAATGTTGGAATGGATGAATCATAATGCACTTTTGTTTCCTTTCAGCATCTACATTGGAAAACGACTGAGCACGCCTTCTGCCAGCACCTATTGAGGGAAGGAAGAGCCCCTGGAAATACGTGTGACCTGTGAAGTGGTGTCATTGTCACATTAGTTTATTTGAACTTGAGACCATTGCAAGCATGACCCAACTTACCACCCTATTTTTATGTATCCAAGTTCCAGTAACTTGAAATCCAGTATTTTTTTCAAACTCTGTTGAGGCATTTTACTAACCTCATTCCCTTTTTGGCCTGTAAGACACTTTAGAATTTCCTAACAGAGTTTACTGTTGTTTAGAAATTGCAAGGGCTTCTTTTCCGCAGATATGCCACCAGCAGATTATAATTTTGTTAATAATGCTGTCATTCCCTTTTAGTCACCACACGATTTAGATCTGTATCATTGATGGTATAAATTATACTCTTGTGAGATAACTACCATTCCTCTCTTTAAATAAGATCAGGTTAGCATATGATAATAAAACTTCATTTGGGTTTTTTTTTTCCCTTTAAGGCAAAGGCAAGCTTCCCTAAACTTGAATTTATAGTTATTTTAAAAAGGAAAACAAAAACAACAATCAGCATACACAAAATAAGACACAAAAAAATTTATCCTGGGCAATAAAAGATCTTTTAAACCAGCTTTGAAGCAACTTTTTGTCTGTCCCTCCTAATAGCGCCTTTTAATTTGTAGGAGGCAGGCAAGCTATACAGATAATAAGACATAAAATAGAGTAAGAACTAAAGTACATCAGCAGATTTTAATACTAGTATATTGTAGTGTCTTTTCTATAATATAGAATCTTTATTTCTGATAAGGAATGTCTCAGGCCTAGAAATATATACAATTGATTTGGGTTTTTTGTGTATGGTATTTTTATGTTTTTTAGCTGCATGCAAATTTTTCATAACTTTTTTTTAATTTCTGTTTCTTTTCTCTTTGTCTCTTTCTCTCTCTAAGAGGCTTTGGAATGAGTTCCAATTTGTGGTGTAAATACAGGCTTCTTGTTTTAGGAAGCATCATTTATACTCTAAAGCCTTTAAACTCTGAAGATAATAGATTCAGGGTTATTCCAAATACTTGTGAAACTTTGAGAAACAGACTTGGGTCATGGGAACAGTTGAAAAAAATCTGACAAGATGCCATTTTTTTCCCCTTCTGATCTCTCTTATTCCTGTTTACTGTATAGTCAGTCCTCCCAAAGTGTTTCCTGTGGTCCTGCAGGCACTGGTAATTTTCTCTTGTAGTACTCTTTTTTAGTTCTTTTAAACTCCTGAAATTCCAGAAGTCACAATAAACTTCTTCCTTCTGTGACACTTTTTTTCCTTTCTAAAATGTGAAGCTTTAGGACCAAATTGTTAGAAAGCATGAGGATTGCCAGTTTCTTCAAGTAGGTTTTATTGGATTTCAGCACACATAGCATGACTCTGAAGGATACTACTAACTACTATGTTTTATATTTAAATAATTACTCTTTATGATATAGACATTACTATTGAATATTTAAGAGAACCAATGTTATTTTAAAACTAGCAGTCTAGTCATTAAATAAAGTGCATCAGGTTGACTTGAATAAAACACTACGACAGCCAGGTTTGCCAGTTTGCAGAAACTTTTCTCTCTCGCATCATTTTACAAATTGATTTATAATAGAAAAACAATAAAAACGTTAATTATTTTTATTCATAAACTTAGCTCCTTATCTCTAAGAAAGCGGTCTCCAAAATAATTGTCTTTTTCTTTCTAGTATTTAATGTCTAAATAATTTTAGACATTTCTTGATTTTACCTTGTTTCCATTTCACTCTTAAGCCTGATAGCACTTGATTCATCTTCCGTAACATATTTATCTCAAGTGTTCATATGTTAATCTCGTGGAAGAAAAGAAATCTGATGTCTTCAACTGTTGAGGGAGTTCTCAATGCCTCGTCTGTAGGATGTGACACTGCTAATAAAAAAGCGACACCTCTCTGGCTGTTCAAATCCAATACATGCTCTGAGGGAAAAAAAAATATGTCATTCTCCTTCCTTAAAAAGCAATTTTCAGCTTCAGAAACCCTCTTGGAGGTTCAGCTATGAGTCACTTCCAACTCAATGGCAGTAGGCCGAATTTTCTCTACTTTTGACAAACCTGAGTATAGTTGAAAAGAGTAAAATAGATACACCTTACTTTGTACAACAGTTGGCACTATGAGAGAGAAAAGGAAAAAACCAATTTTTTATAGGCATCACATTTCCTTCTTTCTAAATTCGATAGTCTTTTAGTAGTATGATTAGGACTTGGGTATATTTTTTCCCCCCAACATTAGCAGTAATTTTTTCCTGCCCCTTTTCTGAAGTTATCTGTGAAATGATGAAATCTTATTTTCAAAATGAATACATAATCACAGTAGAAGTCTCATTAAGAGGCAGTTGTGCAGTATTTTTTGATAGTCCTAACATATGAGGTGAATGTCTAGGACTTCTTCCCAGATTTGCATTGAACAGAAACAGATTGTTTTATTGGAAAGGAGAGTTTACGATTAACAGTTGAAATTTTTGTTGAGATGAATATTTTAAAAGCTTTACACCTCTTTACAATTGGAGATGAATTGACAGGCTTATTTTTTCTCATATTTCATGAAAACTGGCTTTTAAAATATTTGTAAATAGAATCATGAGTAAAATGCACAAACTTGCACATTGAAAAATGCAAAAATTTGACTACAGTAAAAATACTTAATATGAAAAATTAAAATTTGAAACTAAGCCAGTGAGGTGGTTTTTTTTTTAAGAGAATCAGTTGTTGAAATTATTGAGATTAACTGAGCCAAAGTGATTATGCATTCTTCATCTATTTAGTTAGCACTTTGTATCATTATATACAGTTTACAATACATGTATAACTTGTAGCTATAAACATTTTGTGCCATTAAAGCTCTCACAAAACTTTTTCTGTCAGTATATGATTTTATGTCATATTTGTTGTCTGGGAGTTAAAGCAAATGAAACTCCATTTTACCTGTATAAGCATTTTCCATGACTGATTTTCACAAATATTTGAGTGCCTAGTTATTACATAAAAATGAGCAGTCTTCAAAAGATTTTTATTGTTAGGTAGTTTATCATCACAAAATAGAATTATTTGTGAGTACTGTAGTGGAACTGTCATAAAGTCAAGTCCAACACATAGTGAACCTCTGTTACAGTTCTTTGGTGCGAAGTCTTTATGGGAGGAGACTGCTAATCTTTCTCCTGCAGAATGACTGATGGATTGAACTACCAACAGTCACATTTTGATTAACAGCCTAGAGGCACTCCTTGCCATCAAGGAATCAACTACATGTATGGAAAGAGCCAGTTACATCTTAGTATCTGCAGTCAGAAAAAGGCCAGGGGTTGACTGTGGAACAGGCCATCACTTGATTTATTCAGATCTCAACTGAAGCTGAAGAAAACTATAAAGTCTGTGGGAGTCCAAATAGAACAATGAGTTTATCCCACTTGATTTTTAAAAGCCATCTCAAGATTAGACTTATTTTTAAATCAAATAGTGTTTAATGCATTGAACAATAATTACTGAAGACCAGATGAGTTGTAATTAAAAAAATACAGGAAAAATATTAGCTTTTAAAATTGTTCTTGAATGTAGACTAAACTGAAAGGAAAGAATGAAATAAGCTAAACAGATTCTTTGAAAGGGCAGCTTGAAAAGACAAGATGAAGTGTTATAATATGCAAAGATCTAGAGTTAGAAAACTAAAAGGGGAGAACACACTTGGCATTTCTCAAGCTGAAAGAACTCAAGAAAATGAACTATTCATGCCTCAGGTTTGCAGCCTTCAAGGATTCCTTGGGGGAAATACTGAATGACTCAGGAAGCAGCAAAAGAAGATAGACTACAGAGTCAGTGTAACAAATAATTGATGCCCAGAGCAACAATGAATGAAAACCCCAAATCTCTGTAAATGTTCATTAAAACTAATAAAATATAAAAAAAAAGAATTGATGCCAGCATGTGATCAAGAACAAATGGCACTAAAATCTGAGCTGCGTGGAAAAAGCATTGACCTGTAAGTAAAGTCCAAAACCATAATGTTCATAAGAGACAAACTGGGATCAAGCTTAGAAGCACTAGTCCAAGGTATTAAAAGACTGCCAAATAAAACCGGAAATGTGCAATGTAAAGATAAAATTGATGCATGGGGCCTTCAAAAGATTAAATCTCTGCACATCAAAAATTTTTTCCAAGGGGTGAAAAGAAAACCTACAGACTGAGAACGAACTGAGATGGTAATACCATCTCAGACAAGAGTCTTAAAACAAGTGTACAAAATACTCCTGGGCCTCCACAAGAAAAAGACCGATAACCCAATTACAAAAAGCAAAAGACATGGAAAGAATTTTTCACAGAGGAAGACATTCTAATGGCAAACACACATGAAGAAATGCTCCAAATCACTGGCAATAAGATGCAAATAAAAACCGCAATGAGGTACCATCTCCAGTAAGAGTGGCAAAGTTTGCAGGACAGCAAGTAATAGATGTTGGAGAGGATGTGGTGAGAAAGGAACTCTTAAACGTTGTTGGGATTGTAAAGTGATGCAACCATTCTGGAAGGTAATTTGGCGTTTTCTCAAAAAGCTGAACATAGAAATTCCATATGCCCTAGCTATTCCACTACTTGGAATATAACCTGAGAATATGAGAACTGAGGCACAAACTTGTTGTACACCAATGATCATAGCAGCATTATTCACCATCTCAAGAACATGGAACCAGCCCAAATGTCCAACCACAAATTGAGAAACTATGTTACATTTACACAATGAAATACTATGCAGCATGCAGGAGCAAGAATTTCGTAAATTATTACCTAACTTGGGAGGGACTGGAGAGGATTATGCTGAGTGAACTAACTATCCCACAAAGAAAAATATAAGACCATTATTGTAGAATAAGTGTAAGGATCCAGGAGGGGTGGGAGAGGCTGGAAGCAGAGGGATGCGGATGTACAGGGGAAGGGCAGATTAATCATTGGGTTGTACAATTTGATGGGTGGGAGGGGGTGAGGGAAATTGAATTTGTTCAAATTTGTATTAGAATTTTGTAAATTAGTGAATAAAAGAATCATTGAAAAAAGGAATAAATCTTTGGTCTTTTAAAATATTGAAAAAAATGATCTCAAGACAGGAATCTGAGGAGGTAGGATCCCAGGCTGCTGGCTTTGGACTTTATCAGCTTCAGAGGCTGACAAAGGTTGTGGGAGAGCTGGAATTAGCAATTGGATAACTTTGGAGACTGAAACCCAAAGTAAACATGTGTGATGGGGTACTCTCTATTTGGTCATAGAGCCAAAATGTAAATCTGACAACACACTTGCCAGTGTCTAGACAAATAGAGGCTACACTCCTGAGGAGACCTACCGCTAATCAGATAAGCAAAGATAAGGGTCTTACCTTTGCTTGTAATTCTTCCTCATTAGCAGTTTCCAAAACAACTCATTGCTCTTAGATCAGAACTTGGAAATGACCTCTCACCAGGTTTTGGGAGACTGTAATTTGCACAGGAGCA